GAAAGAAAAAGAAAGAAGAAAGAAAGATGGGGAGGAATGAGAGGATGAAGGAGAGAAATAAGGAAATGTTGCAAGCAGGGCCTGGTGGTGCAGGTCGGTAATCCCAGCACTCTGGGCAGATAAGGTAGGAGGATCTCAAGTTTGAGTCCAGCCTGGGTTAAAAAACAAAACAAAACAAAAAAACTGTAGCTCAGTGTGAAGATGCTGGATTCAACCCTCAGCACTTGGAGACATATATATGTATGAAATACAGGTGTTTGAACACTGACTCCTCCACGGCAGAGGTGGGAAGTCACATAGCCACCTTCCTTGGGGTGCAGAGGAGTCTGGGGGCTGTGTTAGGGTTGCACCCAGCAACTTGAAGGCCTAGATTACAGGGATGGCGACCCTTTTACAGCTTTCAGTGATACAAGCTGTAGGTTCACGACCACTGGTTTAGAAGTACCTGTATGTTGGGTTTCCCGCCCTCTGTCCTTGGAGCTGAGCCAGGCTGTAGGGTGGGCTGGGCAAACCCTGGACCTGCCAGAGTGAGGGGCTGGAAGTGAGGCGGGACAGGACTGCACACCTGTGGACCAGGCAAAGCCTGCACAATGCTGGAGCTGCAGTAAGCTGGGCGCTGAGCTGCTGACCTCCCTGCCAAGAACAGCTCAGGTAAAAAAAAAAATGCTTCTTGCATCAAGTACTTGCTCACTTCCTAAGACCAGGAACTAGAGAATCACCATTCCTGTGCCCGCTGTCCTGGACAGGGAGGACATACTTGGGAATGGGGAATGGAGAGCCAAGCGCATGTGGAAGGACTTCAGCACAGCGCCTGCCTTCCACTGCAGAAGGAACGAGGAGATTAACCGGCTCAGCCAGGGAGGTCCGGGTGCTCACACGAGACCTTGGCAAGTAGGTAGAAAAGCCAGTGCAGCCTGGGCCTGTGACTTCTAATGTGTCATGCTCCATTTCTGTCATTAACATCTTCCTCTGCCTGGCTGGGCACTGGGGCATAAGCCTATAATCTCAGCATTCTAGGAAGTTGAGGGAGGAGGGGGGCAAGTTTGAGGACAGTCTGGGCCACATAGAGAGACCCTGTCTCAAAAACACCTCTTGTAATTCCTCATGTCTGCCTCTACTTATCACTGGCAGAAAATAGGGGCGCCTACAAAGCAGGGCCTGGGTTCCCAGAATAGCTGTGAGATGAGGTCAAGGAACTCTGATGTTCTCTTTGTTGAAACAGGAATGAACTTTGAAGCCACTTTTGTTGTCTTGTGTCTCACTAATGCTGGGACCCACAGGTGTGTGGTGCCACACCTGGCCTCCCCACTTCTGATGCATGAATAGGAGGGATATGGAGAAAATCAGGCTGAGCAGTGTAGAGGAGGAGGAGGCCACTGCTGTGTGCTGAAAAAAAAAAGTGTGGGTCTAGGGCCTGGGAGCTGGGGCAAAGTGGAATGTGCCCAGGTTTTGGTGGCCCTTATATGGCTGTTTGAGACCGCCCACGAGAGCCAGGCCAGCTCTGTGTCGGAGAGGACAACCTGGCTTCTATGCAGTATGGGGACTGAACGAGGGCCTTCACAATGAGCTGCATCCCCAGCTCTTTTTTAATTTTGTTGGCTGGGGATATAGCTCAGCATTACAACACCTGCCTGGCAAGTACCAGGTCCTGAGTTCGAGTCCTGGTAACAACAACAACAAAAAAGCCATGCTATATTTTAATTTTGTTTATTTGTTGCACTACTGGGGATTGAACTCAGGGCCTGCACTTTGTGCTGCATTCCCACCCCTTTTTATTTTGACATAGTCTCAAGTTGCCCAGGCTGGCTCCAATTTGTGGTCCTCCTGCCTAGCCTTACAGGGTGTTGGGGATACCGTTGTGCAAGCTGCTAGAGCTTAGAGGCCTGCTTGCTTCACCCATCAGGACTCATGGAGCCTCTGGGCTGCATCCCTCCTGGCAGGCAGCATCCCCAAGACACAAAAGCTGGGCAAGGGCAGTGCCAGGCTTGGAGAGGTGCAAGACGAGGGGTGCCAGGGCCGCCTGATTCCTCTCTGTCCCACTGCCAGCCTAGAGCAGTATCAGTGGCCCCCAGGGCAAATCGGCGCTCATCAGTGCTGCGCCAGTTGCTGCCTCCTGAGACGGACAAGCAGCTTCTCGCCTGAAGCTGTCCCGCGGCGCAGGGCTCGGTGCCGTCCACACCTCCGGGCACGCTGGATTCGCTGCGGGGGTCCAGTACTGTGGACGGCATCTGCGCGTCCAGCTTCCAGAGTAAGTCAACTTCCGAGAAACAGTTGCCACGAGACAGGCTTCGTGCACGGCGCAAAGCACACACGGGGCGCTCACCTGGGTTCCTGCGGTGCCCCGGGTGCGCGCGGCTGAGTCTGGGAGGATCCGCTGCCGGCCCGGACCAGAGGCGAGGGGTTGGCAGGGGAGCCCTGCAGGGCTTTGCGTGGCCCCTCCCCACCTCCTCTCCACCGCGTTTGTGAGGCGGCCACCAACCCAGGCGGTGCAGCCGACACACGTAGGTCCCAGGCCGGGGTGGAGATTCAAGTCCCTGTGCCGCGAGGAGTGTGCCACGCTAGAGGGAGCTGGTGGGAACTACACCCAGAGGCTTCCTGGAGGAGATGACCTTTAGCTGGGCGCTGCAGGGTGACTCGATGGGGGTAAACCAGGCTAGGCTGAGTGTGTGTGGCTGAATATTGTTTGGCTTCCACCACGCTCACAAAAACAGGGCCACCACAACTAAATCAGGAGGAAAAAAAAATCAGATTTTTTTTTTTAGGCAGGAACTCGCTATGCTATGCAGTTTAGACTGACCTTGAACCCACTACGTAGCCCAGTTTGGCCTCAAGCTCCGGGTGATCCTCCTGCCTCAGCTTCCCAGAGTGCTGGGACTATAAGCGTATGCCACCACGTATGGCAAAATCCGGTATTTTAAAGGAGGCAATGAGGTAGTTATTGTGGAAAGGATTTCTCTGGCTTTTTAATTACTCTTGGTGGTGTAGTGGGGTGGAGCCCTACAATCCTTAAAAGGGTGTGTGATAGGGGAGGGAGGTGACAAGCCCAGGCCGAGCTGTCACACAACTCCCTGAAGGTCCCTGGCCAGATCCTGACTGAGCTGGAGGCCGCGGAGGTGGGGGATGCGGGACTGAGGGAGAGGCTCTAGCACCAGCTTCTGCGGTGCCCTCTGCCCCAAGTTCAGGTTCTTCTGCAGCTTCTGCCCTACCCCATCCTGACCCCAACCCTGGGGTCACAGACAGCCCTGTGCCAGCTGCCCCATGGCTTCTTACTCTTGTTTAAAGATGGGAGCTTGTGTGCTGAGAAGTTAGCCGGCTCAGCCCTAGGTACTGGCTGGAGCTCACTCCAGGGTTGAGGGGACCCCAGAGCAAGAAACACCACTGCCAGGTTCCACGTGCGTGCGTAGGGTTGGCCTGGGCCCAGAAGGCAGGCTGCAGGGGCACTCCTTAGGGCTCATCTTCCTCTTTGTTTCACCTGTCCCCAACCTAAGGGACCCAGATTTGGTCTGGGAAATGAGAAAACTGATTTCAGTGATTTCCTGGCTCTCTGGAGCTGCTGGGCCGCAGCTAGTCCTGGGCGCCCAAGGTGGCCTTGACCACCCTAACCACCTCTTCCCTCTACCTGCCCTCGAGGCTGTCACTTCTTTTGCCCCCCAGACAGGCAACAAGTGGCTTCCCCAGGGCCCCCAGATCGAGGGATGAGCCAGCTGCTGTGTCCTCGGCTCTAGGGTGTACTGTCTCCAACATTCAAGCAGAGGGACTTAGGAGTTGTAGAAAACCGCAGCGGACAGATGTTCTTGGGGGCCAAGTCCTGGGGAGTCCCTTTCCAGGGCCAGAGGCAGACTTGAACTTGGCTCCTATCCTGTGTGACTGTCATCTTTTAGCTTTCCATGTGCACAGAGGGGTCTTGTTTCCTAGCTGAAGCGCAGTCTGGTTTTTTTGTTTTTGTATCAGGAATTGAACTCAGGACCTTGTGCTTGCCAGGCAGGGGCTTGTACCTCTGAGCTATATCCCCGGCCCATGAAGTACAGCCTGAAAGAGGTGTCAGAGCCTCAGCCACTAGGGGTGGGGCCTTACAGATCTGCTAGCGGCACATTAGCACTTCCTCCGCGGCCACACCCTGCCCTGGGCTCCACAGGCAGCAAGCAGGAGCAGAGGAGCTGTGCTGAGGCCGAGTGAAGGCTGGCAGGACCAGAGTCACTAGGCGTGGGCAGCCCATGAGGTGCCTGCCTTATCCAGGAAAAGCTTACAGATCCTTATCAAGATAAAAGAAATAAACCGAGCCTAGAGGTCACCCTGGGTCTAGGCAACTACCCTAGCAAGAAGAGTCTGGGGCACCACCCTACTGGAGTTACCAACAGCCACTTTTACTTTCTAGGGTGCAGGGCTAAGGAAAGAAACAAGGAGGAGGCGCTCTTGGACTTTCCAACTTTCTTTGGGAGGCGCCACTCAGGATGTAGGCCTTGCACTAAATCTCAATCCCCGTTAAAACAGATCAAGTTTATTTATAAATACCTGTACAACCTGAGTGACAAGTCAGGACTTCACAAAAACAGAAAACAAGAGCATTCTTTCTAAAGGGAAGTTGCAGGCATCAGACTTTCTCTGCACCTCTCAGAAGCAAGACACAAACAGACCTACACATGTAGTGAGCTAGGCAGATGGACATTGGCCTTCTTGCTTTTTGGAAGTGAAAAAAATTAAACAGCCTTGGGTACCATACTCTTCAATACTAAAACCACACGGGGAGTGAAGGGGACCACTGGGGATGGTACCCCCGCCACCCAACAAATCCCTTGGCCCACCAGGAAGACCAGCTGGGGACAGGGCAGTGTCTGTTGAGTCCCTGCCCCAGCGAAACTGCATCCTGATCACCACACTGCTGTGCAGTGTGAGTCGATTGTGGGTCTTTGTGTTTGGTTTCCCTCCCGCTCTGTGCTTTGGCCTCTTAGAATGAAGGTTTCCATGGCTGTAGAGACAGTGGTAAAGTGTCTACACTGTGATGCAGTTTTAATAAAAATTTTATTACACAGCCATAATGTAATTGACACTTCTCCAAATCCAAATGATACTAAATACAGATCTACATGGTGGATCAGAATGACTCCAGCAAATTATATGGGTTCTATGATTTCATGTCTTTTGAAACCAGGTAGAAAAAAAGTCCGCGTTCGATGTGGTGGAAGAGGTCCCGGCAGCTCCGGGACTGCGGAGCCCAGGCAATGTTTAACAGTCTGTGATTCCACATTTACACACCGTCTATAAAGAGCTTCAGCCGATGGACTCTTCAAGTATATATGGTTTTAATGAGTCCATCACCACTCCTCTGCCCGGCCACCCCGTGCAGCTACCACACAGCCGTGCCACACTCACATTTACCAACTTTACCGTCACAATATGTCTTTAAAACCATCCATTGCCGCTTTTTTAAAAATAAAAAATGTAAACTAAATTAAAGCAACACTGAGGCTCTACTAAACCCAGAAGTGTTATCAAGTTCATTTTTATGTTTAAATACAACATAACTCCATGATTTCCCATGAACCCCCTTCCGTATACAAAAGTAGAATGAAGAAGTACAGAGCAGAGCGTCTGGAGTTCTCTCCCTCTTGTGGAAATCAGCAGCTCCCGCTGTTTCTCTAGCTCAGTTCCTGATATATACAGTCAGCTGTACTTTGTTCTGAAAAGATTTGTTAAATGCCACTTTTATTTACACTTGGAGCTTTACACCTGAGAATGATTATCGAGCAGTCAGCTTATCTCTTTGCAAACATTTCCTAACGACACACACACCTCTCTGCCGGCTTCCCCCAGCCGCACAACGTCCTCGCTCACCATATAGCTATGCAGACACACGAACGAACGGCACAGGCCGCTAACATTTGCAACCTAAATCTTTTTGTGTTTGCTCTCCACATTCGTGTTGAATTTCTCTTAAAAAACAAAAGAAAATGGTATTCTTGCCAAAACAGAATCACCAAGAAGAGACAGGCACACGCTCCATGTTCAGCAGAGAAGCTGCAGGCGGGACCCCCAGGATGGGGGTGCTTCTGCTGCTTCCCTGGGCTCCCTCCCACAGGCACGACACAGCCTGGGGCTTTGCTCTAGGGTGGGGGGTGGTGGGGGAGGAAGGTACAGCTACAGCAGTCAGGCCTGTTTAGTAAGAAGAATCACATTTAATGAGTTTCTTTCTTGCAGTTTCAGATGCTAAAGTACAGCTGAAAAAAATCTGAAACAGCTATAGACTCATGACAGACTGATACAAAGAGTACTGCATTTTTAAAAAATGATAAAAAAAACCACACACTTACATACACATATACACACGCACTCTCTCTCTCTCAAATTAGACCCCCCTCCCTCCCCACAAATGTACACTTTTTGGAAATTAAATTGGATTTGAAAACCCCTCTTCCAAAAAGACAGGAGGAGGAGCGCGATGAGGAGAGAGAAAGCGGGGCTGCAGGTGCCCAGTCCCCACTCCCTCGGCAAGGGCCAGGTGCAATGTTCAGTGGTTGGGTCTGGGGCAGCGTGGAGGAGACTGACCCACGCCACTGCTGTGGCCACCGGGGGCGCAGCAAGGATCCCAGCTCCGTGGTAATACTGAATGCGTGCAGAGTGGCCAATGAACTGTGCTGGTTAAAAAAAAGAAAGGCAAACACAAATCTAAAGACATGGAAAAGCCCACAAGAGCTCAGATCCACCCTGGGCGGGCCTGAAGTTGGTGGGAGATGGTGCAGACGGGGAGTCTATACAGCAAATGGTTTATATTACAGATGACTGGCAGTTCATGGAGTCTCTTCCCAGTTCTGCTACTGCTCCAGCCCGAAGAGGGCAGATCAGAGGGAAAGAGGTAAGCTGGGAACTGATGGGCATGCGGGGTCAGAAGCAGCAGGCTGGGCTCAAATCAGTCCCCGTCGCTTTTTGTAGTCTTCTAAGTTCAGAGATCTCCTTGGAGCCCCATCCTTGGCAGGCGGAGCCTTGGAGGTGATGGCCAAAGCCTTTGACTCTGGAAGAGAGGAGAAATTGCATGTGAAGGGCCCGAGAAGCGGCGCTGCACTCCTCGGGTCCTTGCTCACTACCCCTGTGCCCTCTCACAACACAGCTGTGGGCGGGCGCGCCTGGCCCCATCTCCTCCCTACTCTCGTCCTCAGCCATCGACACTGCCCCACCCCACGTACCTGAGCTGGGGACCTGGAGGTCGATCTTCACATCAAAATCGTGCACTTTGAACAAGTCTTCTGAGAGGTCACTGGCTGACTTAGAGTTCAGGTCTTTATCCTTCCCCTGACCCTGCAAGGACAGAAGAACAAGTCAGAGGTGCAGTAGGCAGTCATGGCCCAAGGCCTTGCTTGGGCTCACTGGATTTCCCCACTGAGGGACTTTCAAGGGGGGACAGAAGGGCCGGAGATAAAGAGCTTTTTTTTCCTGAAGCCTTTGCAGGCTTCAAAGTGAAGAAAGGGAAGGCTCATGTCTGTGACACGGAATATGAAGGGAAAACCGCACCACCCCCCTTTTGTCTTTTAGAGACAGAGTCCCGCTAGGCAGTTCAGGATGGCCTTGAGCTCACTTTGTAGCCCAGGCTGGCCTCAAATTCAAAGTGATTCTCCTGCCTCAGCCCCCCGAGTGCTGGGATTAGAGGTGTGCGCCATCACACTCAGTGAGGCTGCCCTCTGACCCAAGATCTCAGAACCCCTGGGACAGCTGGGCGCCACAGCAGACCTAAATTAGGTAGCGCCTGCTCCTCCCAAGCATCCTGCAGGGCAGGTGGGTGTAGTGTTGCTACGACCTCACACGTGAGGAAATCTGCCACAGAGGTGCAGAAGGCAGGCGCCAAGACACAGTGGCCCTAGGTGAGCAGTGGTGTTGGGCTTATAGTTCAGGCTGTCTGCTTAAAACTCAGAATTGCTGAGTACATTTGCAAGTAACTGGGATGGAGAAGGGACTACAGGTGGGATTCCACGAAGCCCCAACCAGGTGAGGGGCGTGTTCTGGGTTCTGGCCAGCGGCCCAGCTAGGAAGCCACGGACAGCCCTGCACTTGCCTTGCTCATTTCCTTGGGAGCATCTGGTAACACTCCAGAACCGTATTTTGCATTTAGCTGGGCCAGGATGGCAGCTTGAACAGCTGGGTCCCTGGACTGAGAGAGAAACATCAGTTATTTAGAGGCTGTCCAGCGTTCAGAGTCCCACCGCCAGACCGGTTCCTATCTACCACCACTAAGACCACAGGCTCGCGGTGCCCCTCAGCGGCCGCTCCTTGGAGCTTCCTCAGGCAGCAAAATGGGGCAAGAAAGGGTCAAAGCTAAGCCCAGCACAGACAGGCCCAAGGCTTAGCATCCATCTGAGAATCTGAAATCCTAAATGCTCCAGTTCCAAGAGCTTCTGTGTACTGATGGTGCTGTAAGTGGAAAACTCCACACTTGGCTCCATGTGACAGGCTGCAGTCCCACTAACACACGATACAAGTTACCTCCAGGTGATACGTATATCATATGTATGAAACATTAATGAATTCTGCTTTAGACTTGGGGCCCAGCCCTAAGGTATGTCATTATATATATGCAAATATCCCCAAATCCAAAAAACCCCAAACTCCACCTGATTCCAAGCTTTTTTGTGTCTTCTTGAGACAGGGTCTCACTATGCAGTTCAGTCTCACCTTGCACTCACTTTGTAGCCCAGGCTGGCCTCGATCTCACAACAATCCTCCTGCCTCAGCCTTCTGAGTGCTGGGATTACAGGCATGCGCCACCACACCCGGTGATTCCAAGCATTTTGGGTAAGGGCTACTCAACCTGTGTTAATGTCTGCTGCCCTGCAAGCCCACCCTGGAACAGAGGTGCTGGCCCTGGGCTTTTACGAGTCCATGCCTGTCCTTACCACCTACTTGCCCTACAGCAAGATAAAAAGGAAAGTATCTAGACCCAAGAGCTTGAGACAAGTAAATCCCAGCTAGCAGACATTATTTTTAACTTAGGTCTATTAGCCTCCTAATGGGATTCACTTTGTGTCCTAGAATCTGGGCCCCGCCTGCAGATGTCCTCCTCGGGTACTCACGTTGGAAACAATGGTTGGCTTGCACTGCCGCCGCGTAAAGGGGTCCATCTGTTGGTTTCTCATGTTGTGACTTTCAGCCTAAAACACAGAACATGTGTCAGGGAGCCTGCGAGCCTCCCCCTCCTCACTCATCCGAGTTCACGTGTGAACGACACCTCTGCAAGGGACTGAAAGATCAGCAGCCTTCTCGCATCCTTTCCTTTCACGGGCACTAGAGCAGACGGGAGCAAGAATCACAAATGAGAAACAGATGAAAGTAACTGTGTTGGGGACTCCAAGGGTGGACAACTGCTGCTTCCTGTCTCACGCTGGGAAGGGGTATAGCAGCACGTGTGCGTGCTAGGCACAGGTATTGCTCACCTACATGCACACGTTATCTGCATGACTGAAATGGAAACCTGGGCAACACATGGCCAACATTTCCTATCATTTCGTTTGTGTCTTTTCAGGGAGCCTGTGAAGCTTCCTTACTCACCACCAGGGCCTTCTCAGACTCCACGATGTTCCACTCCCGGTTCCGCTGGTTGATGTAGCTGTGAGGGAGGAGGAAGGGGAGTGAGCAGTGGGCTGTGAGAAGAGGAAGGAGCCACCGGGCCCTGACCAGACGTGCAGAGCCCGAGCACAAACTGGGCGCCTGGCCACCAACGGGCCCTCACCATGGCTGAGGGGAGGCCCGAGCAGGAGAGGCTGGGACACACACCTGATGGCAGATATGTTCTTGGTCCGCTGGCGGTCCAGGGCCTCTGCACGTTCCTCCAGCTCGTTGAGCTGGTCTTGGATTTGCTTGGCCTTGTCCTGATCTCCCAGGTCCTCGGCCATGGCCTGCACAGAGAGGGGTGAGCTCCCGCCACAACTGGCTCTGCATCGCAGATTCCCTCACTCCAGCACCGCAAGGCACCGCATGTGATGAACACAACCAGAGGGACGGACAGTGCAGAGTGCTTCAGAAAGGTCTAACTCTTCACAGGAGTGACATCCTCCCGCATAGTCATTGGGTTCTGGGCACTGCACTCTGCAACATCAACCTTAGAACCTGGCACATGGCTAAACTAGGCTTGCCTCATTTGGATGTGAGGAACAGAAAACTACCTAGTACAGTATCATTTGTTCAGATCTAGTGCCGGATACTAGCGCAGGTATGTGTATCTTAATTAATTAATTAATTAATTTCCTGTTTTGAAACTCTCACTAGGCTGGCCTCAAACTCGTGATCCTCCTGCCTCAGCCTCCCTAGTGATAGGATTGTATGTGTGTGGCACCACATCTGGCTCCCGGGTCTATCTTATTACATGAAACTAAAGTGACTGGAGAGTCAAGCAGAATGGAACAAACAAGACCAATTTCAACACAAAGAAAAATGACCAAGGAGTGCCACCTAGGTGGCAAGAATGGACTGTTGCTTATAAGCCAGCCAAGATTTTTCTCCCAATCCTGCCAACCACAAACTCCACAGAGACTGGTTTTGCTGGGAGGATCTCAAATTCAATCCCAATCTGGGCAGTTCAGCAAATGAGTAAGCCCTGGCTCTAAATTAAAATTATTTATTTATTTATTTAGATTCTTCTCCGGTACCAGGAATCGAACTCACGACCTTGCACTTGCCAGGCAGGTACTGTGCCACTGAGCTAAATCCCCAGCCCTCTAAATTAAAATTAACTAAAAAGAGATGGAGTTATATCTTAGCACAAAAGCCCCCTGCTCACTCCCCAGTACCAGACAGAAAATAATGACAAACTTGATTTCCTCTTACAGGATGGGCAGAGAAGGGGCACAAGGCCTCCTTACCTTTTCCTTCAGCAGCTGCGTTTTCTTCATAGCATAGTTGGGTGGAGCTTTTCTGAACCTTTCTTTCTCTTTTACGATCTGTACCGGAGAGGAGATACCAGCAGTGAGGTATTCCTAACTACTGCTGTAGACAGGCTGAGCAACCCCACTTTGCAGGCAAGCAGCTAATTAAGCAAGGACTGTTCTTCCAGCAGCACTGTCATGAGAGTGAGTAAGCTCATTCTGAGGACTACTATGCTGCTTCCAAGGTCCAAGTGGTTCTTCTGGGACAGTCTGAAGAGACGTGCACCATGAACAGAAGCAGCTTGGAGGCCTGGTACTGTAAGGCTAGCCACCATCCAAGAGGATGAAGATCAGAGGATTGTGCACAGTGCTTTGGAGAAAGAATGCTCTACAAGGATGAAGCCTAGCAGAATGCACATTCCATAGACTCAGGTCTACGTGGTTCCATCTGTAGACAGACTGTACAGAGAAACCCCTAACTCCAGTAAGGCAGCACCCTAAGCGTTCCCTTGCCTTCACCTACCTAAAAATGTCAGATAAAGGGAAAGAAAGAAAATCATGGCCTCTGTACTCCCATGAATGTGATAAAGCTCCAGGCTCAGGGGTACCAGGTTTCTTACCTCTTCAATGTCCTGATCATTGAATTTATAATTAAGAGCTTCTTTAATAGATAATTCCTTTTTGTTGATTTCATCGAGAGTGGGCAGCTGCATGCCAGCAGAGAACATCTGGATGGAAACATGGCAGGAGGGCATTAGTAAGAGACATGGGAGAGCGTCAGTCTCCATGCACACCTACTGGGAGTCTCGCCACTTACCGCTTCTTTCCACTTCATGAACTCACTCTCAGTGAATTCCTGGTTGGAGACAAACTCTAGGCGGAACACTCGTTGGTCACTGCCATGCCTACACAGATGAGAGACAGCATCTCCAAGAACGTGCGTGCACACCATCGAGGCAAGCCTACCAGCTTGTGTGCTGCGCCTGCAGCCCTTCATCCTGCTGGCCTTTGAAATATTCTCAAAAGACTACAGAACATTTCCAGTGCTGAAGCACCAGCTAACATCAGTGGAAGTGGAAGCCTTGGGAGTATGAACCAGACAGAGAGCACAGAAACCCCTTAGGCGGTTTTACTGGGCAGCTAAGATTTGAGATCACAAAGCTTGCAACAGAAACCAAGTGGACTTGGCCAGTCAACCCACATCAGGAATATGTGTATTAGGAGTTTTCCAAATGACAAGCAAACTCTTTTCCCGAAAGGAAGAACCCTGCTTTCTGCTGACCACTGCACCGGCAAAATGCAAGGACCCAGGGCCATTCTCTGAAGGACAGGTTTTGTCATGGCCACTCCCTAGCCTGACTCCCTTTTTCCTGTTGGCTTATTTTTGCAACATAAACCTGGGGCTTTTGTTCTGAGCTATATCCCCAGCCCTTTTTATTTTTATTTTGAGATGGGGACTTCCTAAATTGCTATGATGTGCAGGCAGGGACTGCTTGGGGAGGGAGCTAAGGCTGCCCCGGGAGCACCTCTTACCGTAGCTGCAGTCCTTTGTTTGTTCTGGTGCCACCCAGCTGGTAAACTTTGGCAGTTTCTACAACACCTGTGATCTCGGCGACCTAGGAGAAAGCAGAGAATTGGTCAAAAGCAGACTCCTTCAGTGCTTTCCACACCTTTCCGGCGTTGGCCCCACTACCTGGATACACACAAGTGACCTGTGCTGAGAGGAGCCGCAGCTGCCAGGGGTTTTGGGCCCAGTCTCAGGGAGAGACTTCTCAGGGAGATGCAAGGGGCAGCAAGTCTCAAGCCAGGGCGCGAAAGCTGCAGGAGCAGAGGGTTAGCTTGCTGGGCCCTGCCAGAGACTTTCCTCTAACTAATCCCACCTAACTCCAAGAAAAACTCAGGGCTTCCAGGTCTTTTTTCTTTTGAGTCTGGGTCTCACTATGATGCCCAAGCTGGTCTTGAACTCCTGGGCTCAACACACTCTCTTACTTCAGCCTCCCACGTACCTGGGACCACAAGTACCTGCGACTGTGCCTGTCTCTAGGGGGTCAATTTTTTTGGGGGGGGTTGTTGTGCTAGGGATTGAACCCAAGGCCTATCACTGAGATCTAACTCCATCCCATAGTCCTACGCAGAGACCAGATATTATTAACCAAGCGTGAAGACCATGGAGCCCAGTTTCTGTTGCCCAGCTTTCTGGGATGTGGCATAGCTATTAGTTACCATGCAAGGAGATAAATACATTAAAATCATACAACCTAGAACAAAACAAACCAACAGAATCAAAGAGCTATATCCTAGCCCGCCACCATTGAAGCAGCACTGGAACCTACAACATAACCTGTATAAGGTTGGAACTGTAGGGCTGGGGATATAGCTCAGTGGCACAGCGCCAGCCTGGCAAGCATGAGGTCGTGAGTTCAATTCCCAGTTCCAAAGAAAAAAAAGGTTGGCACTGTTTTATTTATTTTTAATTTTTTGATACTGGAGACTGAAGCCAGGGTCTTTGCATTCAACTACATCCCCAGCCCACCTTCCCCATTTAAATTTTGAGACAGGGTCTTGCTAAGTTGCTAAATTTCCACACTGGGCTTGAACCTGTGATCCTTCTGCCTCAGCCTCCCAGAAGCACTACCACACCTGGCTATTTTCTCTTAACATCCCTGGCCTACAAGTCACTAGGTACATAAAAGGGAATTATTTTTATGCATTTATTTTTCAATTGAATAAAGCTAGATTATGTAACTCTCAATAAATAATTCATAAATGTCTCCCTTCTCCATTTTATACTGGAGGAGGAACAGAAAAAATGATCTCAAATGCAAAAACCCACCCTTCTCTCGGCTGCAAGTGTTCTTCCCAGCAGCAGGTCATGAATGATCCCTGATCCCCATAGTTTGTACTGTTCGAGAGCAGCTCGAGTGGAAATCTACTTTACAGTCTGCTGGCGCTGGGATCATGTCTCTTCCCAAGGCCCAGGGCTTAAAGGTTTAGTCCCTTGCTTGGCACTACAGGGAGGTGGACACATGAGAAGGTGTGGGGACCTGGTGCGAGGCTATCAGGCATGCTGGGTGGGGTGGGTGTGCCCTAGTCTCTTGCTTTGTCTCACTCATGTCCTGGCCAAGGTGTGCGTGCCTCTGCTCCGCTGAGGTGGCTGCCCTCCCTCAGACCTGAGCCAATGGGTCTGCCCAAGTACAGGCTGGAGTCTCCAAAGCTTCCCACCAGGGTAAACCTTTCCTTTTTTTTTTTTTTTGTCTTTTTTTGGAGACAGGGTCTCACTATGCAGTTCAGGCTGGCCGCAAGTTCATTTTGTAGCCCAGGCTGGCCTTGAACTTGCAATGATTCTCCTGCCTCAGCCTCCCAAGTGCTGGGATTACAGGCATGCACCACCACGCCTGGCAACCTTTCCTTTTGATGAAGTTATTCTCTTTAGTATTTAGTAAGGAAGGTGACTAACACAAAAATGGTGGCAGAAAAGTGACTTATTTGTTCTGCAGCTCCTACATCCAGCAGAGAATCATTATAACATGGACAAAGTCCAGACAGAAAAATTCCTACCCGGTAAACTGGTTTACTGTTGTGGTTTCCAATGCCAATCCGAACGAAACATCCTGTGACAGTTTTAGCAAAGAAAGGCATGTGACACCAGCGTTCCAGCTTATGCCGTGATAATCGCACCCGGTTCAGTTCTTCAGGCAAGGAGACTGGCTGTGATTTGGGAGGGAGCTCTTCTTTCCTGCAGGGACAGAGGGCCGGGGAAGTGTTCATCATAAACACAGAACAAGATAGATATGTAACATCCAATTTTTACACCCTAACTAGTAGGAGAATCAAAGCGCCAGAAGAGCGCTGTGATCAAACCCTGCTCCTGGCCAGAGAAGACTGACGGAGGGTGGCGGAAGCCACGCCCCTGCTGGGCGCAGGTGAAAGGAACGAATGGGCTGCTGCGTGGAGAGCTCAGCCCAGCAACTCAGGACACTGCACTGAGACGGAGCTCCTGCAAGTGCACTAAGCATCCCCTCAGGGCCCAGCGGCCCGTCTCCCTGCACAGCTTACTCTTCCTCCTCATCAGACGAAGACGTTCGGGATGAGCGGTCTGACTTCTCACTGGACTTGTCGTCCTCTTCCTCCTCCTCATCGTCTGAGTAGACCTCACTGGTTTTTAATGGCTGTTTTTTGGCAAGGAGCTCAGCTAGGAAGAAAGGGGAAACAGGTACATAGGTGCTCTCAACAAGAAACTAAATCTTTTTTTTTCCTTGACACATCTCACTATGTAGCCCAAGCCGGCCTCACACACATAATCCTCCTGCCTCAGCCTCCCAAGTGCAGGGATAACAGGCAGCACCATCACGTACAGCTCATCTTTCATCTTTGAAAAGAAACTGAAACAGGGCAGAGGACTCTAAATGACAGCTCCACCTCTTTGGAGTGGCCTGTGATGATGTACACTACAGCAAGTCACACAGTTACAATCCTCTAGCCCTGCTGAACAGGAAGCCTCGAAGGGCATAACTAAGTGGGCAGAAAGACTCGCAACACTGCTGACAGTTTGTCTTTACTGCACTCAAAATGCTTGAAGATGGGCAGGAGAGGGGGAAAATCATGATTATCTTCAGAGAGTTTCTGAGAAAACCTTGATTTAGAATTTGCAACGCTATCTGTAGTAAGAGTGAAAACAACCCAAATGTCCACAAACAGGGGAATGGCTGTTACACCCAGTGAAGTCCTACGCACATAAAAAGGGAATGAGACATGACCCCACATTCTGAGTCATAGTGTTCTTTTCTTTTCTGGCCTTAGGTGTCCTAGGCAAGGAGCTACATCCCTGGCCCCAGAAAAGAAACAGACGAATTGTAAACACTTCAGGTGTGCTGTTCCTAGTGTTATCATCTCAACTATTCAACTGTTCAGCTCTGCTGCTGTGCCATGAAAGCAGCCCTGGGCTATAGGTAAATAAACGAACACTCGCATCTTCTCTTGGAGTGGGGACTAAACCCAGGACCCTGTTCGTGTTAGGCAAATTTCCCACCACTGAGCTACTTCCTCAGTCATTATTTAATTTACAGAAACAGTCTTCAGAGCTACATTCTAACAATTAGAAGCAAGCTCCAGGGCACATAGCTAGGTGAAAACAGCAAAAAGAAAAACATGCAGTATGCCACTACTGATCTCAGGAGGAAATCTGTGTTCTTCTGTTTATAAAACAAAACAGAAGAAAAGAAAACAAGCCAGGCCTGGTGGGAACACCTGTAATCCCAGCACTCAGGAGGCTGAGGCAAGAGAATCACAAATTTGAGCCCAGCCTGGGCAACTGCCTCAAGATAAAAACTGGGGAAAAAAAAAAAAAAAAAAGTGGCTGGAGATGTAGCTTAGCATGAAGGCCCTGGGTTCAATCCGTGAAAACAAACTTAACTGCCAAAACAAAAAGCCCCAGCCCTCTCAAAACAAAGAGCAATATATAAAAAATGTTTACACAATTGGTCACTATGGGAGGGAGCAAGATATAAAACAGGAATAGATGCTAAACTTCTCTAAAAAACCTGGTGCAGCGCTGGGGATATAGCTCAGCAGCACAGAACCTGCCTGGCAAGCTCGAGGTCCTGAGTTCAATTCCCAGTACAAAAAAAAAAAAAAATCAGCTAAATACACCTGGTATAATACTGTGAAATAAACAGTCTGCCAAAGAAATGTATATACACGTCAGCAGTTCACCACACTGATAAATGTCTAGAAGGTAATGGCCACCACCGTGAGCACCTCTTATAATGGGAGAGGCCACAGGTAACTTGTTTTTTTGGGTTTTTTTGGTCTTTTTGAGACAAGGTCTCACTATACAGTTCAGGCTGGCCTTGAGCTCACTATGTAGCCCAGGCTGGTCTTGAACTTGCAATGATTCTCCTGCCTCAGCCTCTCAAGTGCTGGGACTACAGAGATACGCCACCATGCCCAGCAATAACTTGTATTAATCTCATGATGTCTCAGTAAGTTTAGTATTAAAATACTTCTACAAATTTTTCTTTTCCTGATGTAAACAATTTTTTGCTGGACTCTGTATATTAGGTGTTTATCCCCTTTCCTAAAACTCTTGGAATCTTCAAAGTGACAGTGTCTTTTGTGCACTGAGAAGACTGGTGGTCAGAAGCCCCCAGATGGGGCCGGGGATGTAGCTCAGCAGCATAAGTACCTGCCTGACAAGCGTAAGGTTGTGAGTTTGATTCCCGGTACCAAAGAAAAGAAGCTCCTAGATGGCTTCAGGACAAGAAATACCGTAGTTGTGGGGAAACCAAGGCAGGGCTAGGGAGGCAAGGAAGCTCTGTGTCCCTCCCCAACGCCTGCCCTCTGCATCTCCTCAGCTGTACTCTGTAATACAACAGTAGACACGAGTGTCACCCTGACTCCTGTGGACCATACTCACAAACTCACTCACCCCATGGGGTGGTGTGAGCCGCTGGTCAGAGGCACAGATGGAACAAGCTCGTGCCCACATCCGCAGTGAGGGTGGAGAGGCAGCTATGAGGGAGTGTCTACAACCTTGCTGCTTCCAGTAGACAGGGTCAGAGCAGACTTAAATTAGAGTGCACCCAGGTGGTGTCTGTTATACAGTTAATTCCTGTTGGTGGAAGAAATCCACACACTTTTGGGGTCACAGAAGTGTTGTGCTGATTAATATTAAGAATACATGAGAAACTGAGTTTATGTTTGGCTTTTCCTCTGTATCCACAGACCTTGTTTAGTAGATTTGACTTTAGAATCATGTATGTTACATAATCATAAAACAAAACACCAACAATAAGTCATCTCTAAACATCAAAAGCAAAATGGCTTTCTCTGTTGTTGATTCTGTTGTCTTCCACTGCCATGAACTGTTGCCCCTCTGCCATGCACCACCCTTCCGAACTTGAGCTAAGTAAATCTTTCTTCCTTTAACCTTGGGAGTTAGGTATTTTGTCTTACCAACAACAGAAAAGTAACTAGGAATTTGGTACTAGAGAAGTAGGTGGTTGCTACGATCATAGGCACAGTGATTCAGGATCCTTTGAGAATAGCTTGTGGGAACAATTTGGAAAGGTTCAGAAATGCTGGCTGAAAAAGGAGAGCTACAATGCCTTAGGCTATTCTGTAGAGAGGTTCTAGTCAGAGCTCAGAAGACCAGAAGGCTGATAGAAATCCTGCTGGTACAGATCAGGCTCAGGAGGTTTCTGCTGAGAAGGACTGCATTGGTTGTTGGGACTCCAGATGATGTGTGCTATGGCTTGGCAAAAAGCTTGTCTGCATTTTGCTCATGTCCGGAGACTTTGCAGGATGATGGACTAATTAACCTGGTAGAAGAAATTTCAAGGCAGTCTAATGTTGAAGCAGTGGCATGGCTACTATTAGTGGCTTATAGCTAGATTTATGTTGAGAAGAAAGAGCAAAGAGCCCAAGAAAATAATTTAAAATGTTGTGAGTTTAGCCAGAAAGGAAGCTCCAGTAAAGCTATGGACTGCAAAGATAGAGCAGAGGAGATCCTGATTGCTGAGAAGGAACAGGAAAATAGAAAAGGTGGACTGAGGGCGTCCTAAGAAGCAGCAGGACTACACCCTTTGTAACCTCTAAATTTCCACAGTGAAAGAAAGACTTTGTTTGAGAAGAAAGCCTTGGAACATCACGTTCCAGAATGGCAGCAGCATAGAGAATTTGCTCCTCAGAACTGGATTCAGCAATCCAGGCATTTGAACCCTCTAGCCAAGACAGCGGGAAGCCTCGTTACTGCCCCACCTGGCAGCAGACCTTGGCATCATCCATGTGGTGTTGGTTTTACATGCATGCAGAATGGAAGAGTTGAGGGGTTGGGAAGGCTTCTACCCAGATTTCAGAAGGCCTGGGAGGTCAAGAGTGTGCCCCTGAGAGGACAGTTTGTGAATCTGTGAGTATGAAGCCAAAGATGCAATAGAGACCCCAGAAGTTTGGAGAAGCCAGGAACATGGATCACCTGAGGAAAACTGCAAGGAGGTAAAAGAGTGGTCCCAAAACAGAAGCCATGGGAACTACAACCACCAACAGTGCCATTGGGGCAGAGCCACGAAAGTCCTTTGGAATTAACATCTTGTCACAAGTTGCCTTGGATGCTGCACATGCAACTATAGGACTTAAATGTTTGCCCCGCTGGATTATGGACTTGCTTTGGTTCCATTCTCTTGTACCCCATTTGTAACTTTTGAAATGGAAATGTTTAACTTATACCATTGAATGATGAAAGTGTTTAATTTTCTTTTCATTTGTACAGAAGCTCAGAGGTAAGAGTTTGCCTTAAATCTTAAGAGATTTGGGACTTGGACTTTTCAGCAGTGATGAAACTGCTGGGAGTATGGCAACTTTTAGAGATGGACTCAATGCCTTTTGAGTAAAGGAATGTACATGAGTCTTTGGGAGGCCAGGAGAAGAATGTTATGATTTGTGTCTGGATGTCTCTCGAAAGCCTCATAGGTCATGGGCGGTGGGCTTCTTGGAGGCAGCTGAATTTAGAGTTTGTCAGAAGCCAGGCGTGGTGGCGCATGCCTGTAATCCCAGCACTCGGGAGGCTGAGGCAGAGGGATCGTTGCAAGTTCGAGACCAGCCTGGGCTACAAAGTGAGTGCAAGGCCAGTCTGAACTGCATAGCGAGACCCTGTCTCAAAAAGACCAAACAAACAAACAAACAAACAAAAAAAAAATAGAGTTTGCCAGGGCAGGTAGCCTGCAGATGAGGGACAGAAAGAGTCTTGTCCCTTTCTTCTCTCCATTGTTGCTCCTGACTTCTGCCACCATGAACTGTTGTCCCTCTGCCATGTGCCACCCTACCTGGAAGCCAGCCAATTATGGACTGAAATCACTACAAAATGTAAGGTAAATAAATCTTTCCCCCACTGAAAACAAAACAAACCAAAACAAAGCAAAATGAACTAAACAGAAAGAAACTATAACAAGTGACTTAAAAAAAAATAGTCAATTGAAAGACATAGGCCCAATAAGGAACAACAGCCAGCCAGAAATAAACCCTGGGGCATGAAGTCAATGGATTATTCACAAGGACACCAAGACCATTGATGGGCAAATGACACTCTTCAGCAAATGATGCAGAAAATGATGTTGGCCCTTATATTACACCCTATAAAAAAATTAAAACAGTTCCAATACCAAAATTTTAGAGTTCAACTGTATCATTCTTAAAGGAAATCATACAGGAAACTTTCATGACATTGGATTTGGCAATGATTTCTTGGATATAATACTGAAAGCACAGGCTTAAAAAAATTTTTTTTTTTTTTTTTGGTTTTTCTCCGGTACCGGGAACCAAACTCACGACCTTGCGCTTGCCAGGCAGGCGCTTTGCCGCTGAGCTAAATCCCCAGCCCCCTTAAAAAAATATTAAAAGCAAAATAATTTGTACTTCTCCAAAATTAAAAACTTTTGTGCATTAAAGGACACTACTAAGAGAGTGTCTGCTGGGGCAATTTAGCAACTTAATGAAATCCTGTCTTAAAATAAAAAATAGACTAAAGAAGGGCTGAGGGCCGGGCGTAGTGGCACATGCCTGTTATTCCAGCACTCGGGAGGCTGAGGCAGGAGGATCATTGCAAGTCTGAGACCAGCCTGGGCTACAAAGTGAGCTCAAGGCCAGCCTAGACTGCACAGCGAGACCCTGTCTCAGAAAGACCAAAAAAAAGGGGGGGCGCTGAGAACATAGCTCGGTGTGAGGGCTGTGGGCTTGCTCCCCAGTACAACAACAACAACAAAAAGAGTGTGATGGTTAATCTGCCTGTCAGTTAAATTGGCTTGAGATGCTAGGAGATTAGTTAAGCACAGGGGTGTGAATTTGGGGACTCTATACCATACCTGACCCCTTTCTCTCTGGTTCTCTTAAAAATCCTCTCTGCCTCCCTGTCTCAGGAGGTGTGCAGCTTGCTTTCGCCACAGCATTGTGTTCACCATAGGTCTGAAGCAATGGAGTTGGCTGACCATGGACCAAACCCTCTGGAATATGAGCAAAATAAACTTTTCCTACTTTAAGTTGTATGTGTCAGGATTTTTGCAACTCCCAATGAATGAAATGATCTACATAATGATCACCAACAGGACAAAACACAGTACTGCAGGACAGAACACAGTATTGTCTCCTTTTCTGCGAGGCTCTGTGGCTAGGCTTTTTGCCATGTGACTTGGTAGTTCCAGTTCCCCAAAGCTCCACAGTGACAATGTGACAATTCTATGTCTAAGCATTAAAAGGCACTGCGTGTTTTTGCTTTCCCCTTTTATCATTCTGCTGTCACCACGACATGAAGAAGGGACAAGGGACAGAGACAGGGAGACAACCCCAGCTGAAGGGCAGGTGCATGAAGAGGAACAGGATAGTCTGTTACCTCATATTATTATGGCAAAAGCCAAGTGACAGAGCTGGTAAAACCACAAATGAGAGACAACCACATGTTATGTATTTTCTGATGGAAATAGATACCACTACCTAAAATTAGCCTTTTTCCTGAAACAAAAAACAAACAAACAAACACAAATCTAATCCTCCAGCTCTAACTACCAATTTATAGAAAATTCAAGAAAGTAGAAGAACACATCCCATACCACCAACAAAACACAATTAGCACATGTGAGAAACTGTAACACAAATGATCTAGTTCCATTAACAGATATGCTACAAAGGGGCAAGGATGGGAAGAAAAACAGAGATTAAGTGACTCAAGGAACACATTAATAAATCACAACATGGGTGCTTAAAATCCTGATTCAGATAATCAAATTATCATAGAGAAACTCAAACACTAACTAGATATTTGATCATATTAAAGAGATTCATTGCTACTATTTTTATGTGTGACAGTAGTATATACAAATTAGGTTTAAATGGGCTGGGGATATAGCTCAGCAGCACAAGAGCCTGCCTAGCAAGCACAAGGTCCTGAGTTCGATTCCCAGTGTCCCCCCCCACCGCAAAAAAAAAACGAAAAGAAATAAGGTTTAAAATGAGAATCCTTGTTTTTAATTAATTAATTAGTGGTAGCAGGGATTAAACTCAGGGCCTTTACACTGAACTACATCCCCGGCCCCTATGTTTTACTTTCTTTTGTTTGAGATAGGGTCTTAATAGATACACTGAGCTGGCCTCAAACTTATGGTGATCCTTCTGCCTGAGCCTCCTGAGCGCTGGGATTATAGGTGTGTGCTACCACATTTGGCTCCCTGTGTTTTATATTTTTTATTTTGAGACAAATTGCATAAGCTGGGCTTGAACATGTAATCCTCATACCTCAGCCTCTAGGAATGCTGAGATTACAGGCATATACCACCACGCCTGGCTCAAGAGTCCCTATTTATGAAACACACACTGAAATATTTATGGTTGAAATATGATGATGCAGGTATTTACTTCAAAATATTTTGAAAGGCTAGATACAGTGGCATGCTCCTGTCAACCCTAGCTAATCAGGAGGTGAAGCAGGAGAATGGCAGGCTGAAGGCCAGCTGGAGCAACTTAATGAGATCCTATCTAAAAATTAACTTAAAAAGGACAGGGGGTGTAACTCAGCACTCCCTGGTTTAATTACTAGTACCACAGACACTTAAAAGTGATGTGCTGGTGGGACTGGGATGTAGCTCAGTGGTATAGTGCTTGCTTAGCATGCAGGAGGCCCTGGTTCCATCCCCAGTGTCACAGAAACAAGGCAAAGAAGCTTCTGAAACACTGATGTGATGGAAGAGGGGCTCACAGATGTAACAAGACTGGCTATGGCTGAGTGCGGAGATCAAGGGCCGTGGAGGCTCACTGCGCTATTTCTCGGCATGTGTCTGAAATTTTCCGTTATGAACAGCTAAGGGGGAAAATAAAGATGGGCACTGGAAACTCAAATCATGTGATCAGAAACACAGTTGCCGTGACAGGTCTCCACTTACCTGTCCTGTTCTTCCTTTTTTCTCGCTCTGCTTTCAGCTCCTCCATGGCTTGGGATTTCTTATCTAGTTTTTCATCCCGCTTGGAACGCCGTTCCTTATTGTGGGATGTTACCTGAGAAGGACAAGGATGAACAGGATGGCCATTTTACTATTACAGATGACAAGACTCTATATCCAACAATTATACACTACTTTCAGTCCTCCAAGTGTATGGGCTGCAGAAACTTCAAACACATGAAAGGGGAGAAGACACCTCCTTGTGGACAAAGACGGTACAGCAGTAAAATGAGCCCAGTTTACCTGCCTAATACATGATTTCACTTTTTTTTTTCTTTTTGAATCAGGGTCTCGCTATGCAGTTCAGGCTGACCTTGAGCTCACTTTGTAGCCCAGGCTAGCCTCGAATTCGCAACCATCTTCCCGCCTCTGCTGCCCAAGTGCTAGGATTATAGGCATGCGCCACCATGCCCAGCTAAACAAGTTTACTTTTTATTTCTATTTTTAATTTTTTTTTTTTTTTTTTTGAGACAGGGTCTCCCTAAGTAGTTCAGGCTGGCCTTGAATTCACTATGTAGCCTAGGCTGGCAAACTGGCAGTGATCCTCCTGCCTCAGCCACCTGAGTGCTGGGATTATAGGCACGTAACAAGTTTAACAATTGTCGCAATAAACTCTTTCTGTAAGAACATCCTATACTAGGATCTAATATTTGCTAGTATTTCATGATGAAAGCACAGATGACTAATTTTCCCAGCTATATTTATAACAAGTTGAGAATGACATACACTTGGGGAAATATCACAACCAATCTTGGAAACCTGGACAGCAGGGTCAGTAACGTTCCCTCAAGGGACACTCACACTCCAGTGTGTTTCTGGTGAAATGCAGACCTGAGTGCAGGTGTCCTAAGGAGGGGAGCAGTGGGGCCACCAGAGCAAGTTCAGAGAGGGACAAACACGACACTGGGCACACACATGCAGCAGTGCTGCACTAGCAGGCTGAGGCTGGTTAGCATGTGCACACGCATGCCTGCACACACGCACACACACGGTACTCCTTGGATAGCAAGGCCTACTCACTCCTACCTGAGATTCTTGAATCTGTGTCAGCTTTTTCTTTTCCTGCTCCTCTTCTTGCTTTTTCTTTTTTTCTTTCTTTTCTTTCTTTTTGGCTGTTTTTAGTTTTTTCTTGATTTCAAACCTGGTTAAAACATATTTGTCCGGGTTTTTCAAAGCAGTCAAATATATGGATGGACTGATTTCTATTAAGTCGGAGACAACGTACATATATGTATGTACGTTGGGGACAGTAGTGAATAAACATTTTCACTTCTTGTAAGTAATTCCAATGTACCACATCAAGTTCAGTAAAACCACTGAACAGAAGTACAACAAAAGCACTTAAAAGCATGAAGCTGAGTAACTGTCAAATGAGAGAAAATATTCAGGGTACAGCTGTTTGCATCTATTTTTGTTGTTTTAGAGAAAAAATAAAAATTTCAAAACATGATAATGAGTGTTAACAATGGCTACTACACTGTGTATTGTTATCTTTAAATTAATTATTCAGAGTACAAGATAAAGGCATTTAACCATCTAAACAATATTAGCACAAACCTTTCTTTTCAATGAACTAAGAGAAATTGGTAGTATAACAATCTTAACTATCATATATATATTTATTTATTTTATTTTATTTTATTTTTTACTTTTTCCTTCCTTCCAGCTGTGCACACCTTGAGACACCGGATCTCCTGCAACTTTCATGTAACAGAAGAAAGTGGATTATTCTTGGATCAAGTTAGGAAGGCAAACTAACTCCAACAATGTCCCATTACAAAGACAATGTCACAGTCTGAAGGTGCCTGGAGCAAGGATTCTTTTCCTGTGGGAGCTAGGGGGCTGACGCCAGGGCTTGGGAATGCGAGGCAGGTAGGTGCTCCAGCACCTAATGGCACCCTCAGCCCAGGATGTGTTTGAAAAACACCACTTCCCACCTTTCTTCATGAGGAAAATGGTCCGCCCAGCACACATGTGAACAGATACGCTTTCCTCTTCACTACCCAAACAAAAACCAGGCTTTTAGGAAATGAAAACACTTACTTGTGAATTTAAGAAACTTTATAGAATAAAGGAATGTAATAAATTCTCAGCATACCCCAACATTCTAAAATAACCTTGGCAATTTAAAAACTTAGCCCTTGCTCCCCTTTTGTAGTACTGGGGATTGAACACAGGGGCGTATTATATATTCACCTTTTTTCTTACTTTGAGACAGTGTCTCACTAAGTCTCCTAGGCCAGACTTGAACTTGTGATCCTCCTGCCTCTGCCTACTGGAGTGCTGGGATTATAGGCATGAACCATCACCCCCAGCTTTTATTTAGTTCTTAAATATTATATTATACTACTCAATATTTTTGTTTTGTTCTTTTCACTCATTAATAAGGCTGTTAATGTACATTTATAATGTGAGCTGGGGAGACTATTATAACTTTAGTTCTTTTTTAAAAAGTTACTAAGGCCAGGTGTTGTGGCACATGCCTATAATCCCAGCACTTGAGACAGGAGGATCGCTATGAGTTTAAGGCCAGCCCGGGCTACATAGTGAGTTTAAGACCAGCCTGAACTACATAGCAAGACCCTGTCTCAACACCACACACACGCACACACACACACACACACACACACACACACACACACACTTATCCCTGAGGAGGAGGCTGAGGCCAGAGGACATACATGATTTATTTAGCTTACCTGGTCAGTGGGCAGGAGTTGAACCACACAGACCAGTGGTGGCGAACCTTTTAGAGCTTTCAATGTTACAAACAGCCCTCTGCACCATGTGTGCCATAGGTTCACCACCATTGACCCAGACCTTCTTCTGACTAACATGAGGGCTGTTTTTCTTTTTGTAGTACTGGGTATCAAATTCAAGTCCTTGCACATGCTAGGCAAGCACTCTACCACTCACCTACATCTCCAGGCCTAAAACCTCAGCTTCTTTCTACAATCAGAATACTCTGTATGCTGCTGGCCTCTTCACAAAGGTCACCTTGCTCCTGTGCTGCTGGCTACAGAATGGGGTGTTAACAGTAGGTACACACAGAGACTAAATGAGATCCCTACAAAGACCACCATAAAGTAAAAAAAGATGAGGGAACCCTATATGGTAACCTCTGAAATCCCAGCGTTCTGGGAGACTAAAGGAAGAAAATCAGAAGTTCAAGCCTAGGCTAGGCAACTTAGCAAGATCCTGTTTCAAAATAAAAGATGAAAAAAAGGGTTGGGGAAGAGGTCAGTGAGAAGGCTTGGGTTCAATTCCTAGTACAGTAAAAATACATGGAAGAAATTATCAGGTATGGTGGTACATGTCAAAAAACAAACAAACATGGAAGACATTTTGACCCACTATAATGTGCTGCCCTGAAGGAAGCTGTCTTAATTCTCATCACCCTAAACATTCTTCTAGTCACTAAATCTGCCAATGAATCAGCCAATTTATTTCACATAATGTGGGAAATTTTAAAAAATCAGGCTGGGGCACAGCTCAGTGGTAGAGCATTTAGCAGGCATGATGCTGAATTCAATCCCCTGCATGGTCAAAAAAAATATGCACACAATCCAAGTTTGGAAGAAGCCACTTATTACTTTCTTTTCTTTTCTTTTTTTTTTTTTTTGAGACAGGGTCTCACTATGTAGTTGACTGGCCTTGAATTCACCTCCTAGCCCAGGCTGGCCTTGAACTTGCAGTGATCCTCCTGCCTCAGCCTCCTAAGTGCTGCAATTACAGGTGTGTGCCACCATGCCCAGCACAACTTATTACTCAAACTGCTCTATGATTTTGCCATGGGACCCCACTGACCACATGTGACACCCTTCCGTGATGCTCTCCACAGTTCAGGAGCATACACTCCACAATCACCCCCAAGCACTTGGCAACTCTGGTGCAGTTTCTTCAGTCCTGTTTGTTCCAGCGCAGGTAACCTTGGGAGCATTCATGATCAAAACAAATGTCTACTGACGGAAGCCAAACACTCTTGCATAAGATAACTCACCCTTTTAGTAGCGTTTCCAAAAGGAACAAACAGGCTCCCAAAAGATACAGAACTGACTGCTGCCAAGGAGAGTGCTTTGTGTAGCTTTTCATGACACTAAGCAGATAGGGAAGGATCCTAGGTCCCTGCATTCTCTATTTTCCCAAGATAAAAGCCAAGTTTATGTTTACCTTGAAATTCTATTAGGAGCTGAGGAAAAGCTTCTGCCATTTAAAAATGGCAAAAATTCAGAAAATTAAAGCTGTTTCTGATGATCAGAAAAACAGTTTAACACTTCATGTTTTAAAATTTACAAAAGTCATTCTTTAGAAGTATAATCAGACACCTCATTTGTAGAGAATGAGAAACCCCAGCTCTTAAATCTTATGAAAAAATTAAAGCCAATTTGCAAACTGTAAGGCTGAAAACACCATTTCTTCATTTAATTTTTATATAGCAGTTGTGAGTTAACATATTACTTTCAGTAATTACTAGATTTAAATTCTAAAATCAAGACAATCTCACTACTTTTTTGCTCGGAAAAATCAAATCATGTAGTGATTTTATCAAGACCAAAAAATCCCCTTTGTATTCCCTTAAGAGTACTGCTAAAAGCCAGGTATGGTGGCGCATGCCTGTAACCCCAGCACTCAGGAGGCTGAGGCAGGAGGATTGTTGTGAGTTCGAGGCCAGCCTGGGCTACAAAGTGAGCTCAAGGTCAGCCTGAACTGCATAGCGAAACCCTGCCTCAAAAAGACAAAAAAAAAAAACAAAAAAAAAAACAAACCACAAGAATAGTGCTAAAAAAAAGAACACTGCTTGTAGTATAGTAATACCTTGGGTCATGAATGCTTCCTTTTGCAAACAATTTGGTTTGAAAATAAAGGCATTTAGTAAAATTTTGCTTCTGTTCACAAACTTTGTATCACATGACAAGCATGACCATCCTTCCCACAGCCATTTCCTCAAAATCATAAAACAAATTAAGTTTGTAAACCGAGGTACCACTGTACTTGTTATAGGTTAAGTAAAATAATAGGAAGCAGGAAATCATGCTGTCACATGTTTTACAGTCAGATGGTCCCAGGTTTGAGATCGAGTTCTGCTATTTACCAGCTAAATAACCTTGAGCTGGGGGAATGTGATGCATGCCTGTAATCCCAGGTCCCTAGGAACATGAGGCAGAAGCATCTCAGGTTCAAGCCCAGACTGGGCATCTTAGCTAGACCCTGTCTCAAAATAATACAGAAAAAAAGGGCTGAGGATGTAGCTCAGTGAGAAAAGTCCTGAGTTTAATGCTTAATACAACAGTCAAAAATTAAACAAAAGGGGCTGGAGATTTAGCTCAGTGGCACAGCACCTGCCTGGCAAGTGCAAGGTTGTGAGTTTAATGCCTGGTACTGGAAAAAAACCAAAGAAAGAAACAAAAATACTCCACACCAAAAACCCTTGGAGAAATTGTGTGTGTGTGTGTGTGTGATATATATGTATATATATTTTCTTGTTTTTTTTTTTTTAGACAGGGTCTCACTACACAGTTCAGGCTGGCTTTGAACTCATGGCGTTTTCCTGCCTCAAGTCTCTTGAGTACTGGGATCACAGGTGTGCACTAGCACACCTGGCTCTTTCTTTCAAGAAATCTTCAGTGGCACATATCAGGTATGTGCCAGTCACTGTTTTAGGCAGCAACGAACATGACAGATTATAATAATAAAATCTCCACCCTCATGGAGCTTCCTCTTCAGTTATTTAACGTCTCTTAGCAAATTTTCTGCCTCTTAACAAGGTATAATCAATTTTATCGGGCTGTTGTAAAGATTAAATAACACATGTAAATGTCTTACCAATAAAACCTTATGAAAAATACACATTAGTGAAGTTGATGACACTGAGTAACAATAAATTTGACCCTCAATATAAATACATTAACACTCCCATGTCCAAATGCCAGTGTCTGTATAGAGACGCTCCTCAGAGAATACACAGACACCCCTGCAACTTATGATGGGGCCGTACTTCACTATCCCCACTGGAAGTCGGAAATATCATAAGCTGAGAGTGCACTTAACTCACTTACCCTAGGACACATCATCTGTAGCCTCACCTGGCTTAAACGGCCTCAAGAATGTGTAAGTACACATGTAGTATGCTCAGGACCACAGAAGGGGACGCTCATCTCATGTAATTTACTGAATGAAAAGTCTACACTTTTACATCAGTGCCAAGCTGACAAAGATTCACGCTCCTGGACCCATCAGGACAGGTCGGCCGTGAACACAAGGAAGCACAAGTGACAGAGATGCACAGAGAGGGTGGGAAACGCCACTGTACCTTCTCTTCAACACCTCCCTCTTCTCTATGCGATTGAACAGCTCCTGTTCTCGCTCCTTCTCAGTCATCTGCTCTAGACGGGCCCTGTCCTCCTCATCGCCCATGAGGTCCTCCCCATAGCCGTCGTGGAACTCTTCGTCTTCTGAGGAGGAGTCAGAATCGGAGCTGGACGAGGAGCTGTTGCTGTCAGAATCTGACACTTCACCTGGAACAGAGACCCAGCACAGGTCATGCAACACTCCAGGGACCCCCGTGCCGGCAGCACCACCCCGGGCTGCTCCAGGTAGAGTGGCACAGGGCTGCCTCAACTTCCCTGGGACTAGCCAGCCACTGGTGCCTTTGTAAATGCAGACATGTCAGGGACGTTCAGGCTGAGGTAAGAAATCAGATTGCTCTTTTCAACTAACTTAGTATTTTTATTTGAAAAAAAAAAATAGAGAGACCTACAGAAAATAAGAATGGTACGACTCTTCTGCATTCTCTTTTCTTTTCTTGCACTCTACCAGTGAGCTCTAGCTCCAGCCCTTCAACATTCCTTCCTCAGATTTATTCCTCTGAACTGCTCTTTTATTTTCTCTTTCTGTCTGCACATCTGGAATACCTGTATCCACTTTTGATTACTTTCTGCTGTCATGGTTTAGTCTGGAATGCCTCCTCCCCATCTTGTGCTCAGAGGGGGGCTTTGGGAAGGTGACTGGATCATGGGATGCTGTAGCTACCTTGCTGTTAGGAGGCGTTGCCGAGGGGGCAGCGAGACCTGGAAAGGTACGTTCTGGTCCCTGCCTCCTCCTCCCTTCTCTCCCTGCTTCCTAGCCACCAAGACATGAGCAGCTTTCTCCCGTGTCATCTCTGCATTTGAGTTTGCCAACCACAGGCTGAAACTTCTGAAACTGTGAGCCAAAATAACCCTCCCCCCTTTAAACTGTGGTGCTGGGTACTGCGTCTCAGGGATGATAAAGTGACTGAGACAATTATGTTGCCAAACCGAATGTTTTCTTCCCACTTCCCAGTACCTATTATACATTTTGGTCCTTATTTACCCTTTTAGTTTCTCACACCAGACAAGTAATACAGTATTTAGACGTGTCCGATTTATTTCACTTAACAGTATGGTCTCAGGGTGCATCCATTTAGCTAGAAATGTCTCAAGCTTATCCTTCTTTATATATATTGCCAAATTGAAAGTTCCAAAGGTCATGACTTTTCATTCCTCAATGTTTCTCCTAAAAAGGGCAGTCTCTTACATAACCAACTATACAATTATCAAATTTGTAAACTCAGTTAGCAATTCCATTATCTAACATACAGCCTGTACTCAAATTTCACTGATTGTTCTAATCATCCTTAATAGTCACTTTTGCTAAACTGCCCAGGCTGGCCTTGAACTGAAGACAGTGGTCCAGCCTCAGGCTCCAGAGTATTACAAGTGTGTGCCACTACATTGAGCCAGTCTGCAGCCTGCCTCCCTCCCTCCTGTGTGTTCCCCAATACTGGGGATCGAGTCCAGGGCCTTCACATTGAGCTATATCCCTACCGACCGACTTACATTTCTCTATCTCTGTATCTATCTCTGTATCTGTCTCTGTATCTATCTATCTATCTATCTATCTATCTATCTATCTATCATCTAGGGTCCTGGTATGCAGTTATTCAGTTCAGGGTCCTGGTATGTAGTTATTCAGTCCGAAATAAATCGGACACATGTCTAAATACTGTATTATTTGTCTGGTGTGAGAAACTAGAAGTGTAAATAAGGACCAAAATGTAAAATAGATACTGGGAAATGGGAAGAAAATGTTCAGTTTGGCAACATAATTGTCTTAGTCAGTTTATCATCCCCGATATCAATCCTGCCTTGTTCCTGTCTCATCCTCCTAAGTGCTGGGACTATAGGTGTACACCACCATGCCTGGGTTATTTTATTTTTTTATTTTGAGACAGGGTCTGACTAAGTCACTAAGCTGCCCAGGCTGGGAATGAACTTGTGATCCTCCTGCCTCAGTCTTCCAGAATGCTGTAATTATGAGTGTACACCATACCCAGCCCTAATTGGTTTCCTTTATAAGACAACGTCTCAGGCTATGTCACTCAGACTGTCCTCAAACTTCAGAGTTCACGTAATTTTTCAGCCTCAGCTTCTAGGTTAGCAGGGGTACACCACCCTACCTGGCTTGATCATCCTTTATCCTACATGCCATTGAATTTCTGAAGAGATATGCCTGTAAAATTATCTAACAGAATTTTGTAAGATGGCGATAAAAATATTCCCTATCTGAATAGTAACCACGTTACTAGTGAATTATTGATGTGTGGCTAGTGCCACTGAGAAAATTAATTTTATGTATTACCTTTTAGCTAATTTAAGTTCATTTCCATTTATTTATTTATTTATCGATTTTTTGAGACATGGTCTCACTACGCAGTTCAGACTGGTCTTGAGCTCATTTTGTAGCCCAGGATGGTCGTGAACTCACAATGATCCTCCTGACTCAGCCTCCCAAGTGCTGGGATTACAGGCATGCGCCACCACACCCAGCCAGCTAATTTAAGTTTAAGTAACAAGTTATCAAAGGTCCTACAATTTGGCTTGGCTCATCTATCAAGAAACAATTCAGGTTATGAATTTTTGATAAAAACACTCTGCAAGTGATTGTGTCCTTTTCCATGTATCACATCAGGAAGCACCTAACATCTACCTGATGGTTTGTCCCATTACTGGCAACACTAATGTGGGTGCCTTTGTTAACGTGGTGTTTGTTTTGTTGGCTTTGTTCCCTTTGTTCAGCTTTTCCCCTTGTACGTCAGTATGCATGGGGAGATGCTTGTAGACTTATGAATACCTCGATCCCGCTACTGCACCCGATGGTTTTCACAACCACCAGCTCTTATGTACATCAACTATTACCATGATGGCTGAAGAAAGCTCATTTTTTTAACCCTATAATTTCTTCTACATTTATGCATTAGCATTTTTTTTTTTGCATTAGCATTTTTTTAAAAAACAATGTTTTAATGAGTCCAAAATTAATTAGTGATTTCCCAATGGCTCCGGGTCTTGAAAAGACAAGGACTAGCATGTAAAAAGACAATATATATTATTAATCAGAATTAAATTAAATCAGCAATTTAATAAGAGTTTGTGCTTGACTCAATCTGAGCTAATATTTCCAAGCATGGGCTTAAAGCCAGGTTAGGTCAATTTTGTGTCAGTCAAGTTTATAGTAAGCTTTATGTTTCAAGAAAATTTAGCTGATCAAGGTAGTTCTGAAAGAAGTTCAGTTGTTAAACTAGTGTTAACAAAATATTCTGGAATTTGTTAATGAAAGAAGATTTTCTCCTGAGTTTTGTATCTGACTCAAGGATTTCCCTCTATCACTAGACCATGTGTAACGCAGCAAAGGGGAGGTGGCAGAAGCTTTCAGGGCAAAGCGAATGGAGACAAATGCAGGGCATCCTCACAGTTCTACTGGTGGGCTGGAGAGGTCTCACCAACCCTTCTGAACTGCATGCATTTTTTGGCTTTTATTCAGAGTCTCAAAGAATCCAGGAGCACTGGAAAAGCTAAGAATCTCCCCTCTTTGCAGCTGAGATCAGACTGAAGTATGGGTCCTTTTCCTCCCCACTCTGCCTTTGCCTCTCCAATATGACCGGTGTGGCTTCACCCCCAGTCTGGGCCCTCGGCTCACCTTCCTCAGGGGCTGAGCTCTCGGCTGAACTGTCTTTGTCTGAACTGCCTGAGGAGGCAGTTTTGTTGGCTTGTTTCTTCATGGCTCCTTTCTTCTCTATTTTTCTGGCTTTTCCTTTCTTCTTGTTTTTATTGCTCCCAAATGTCCACTACAAGGGGAAAAGAAAAAGGAAAACTGTAATAGGAATAGGAACTTTATTTGGGAAAAAAAAAGCTCAAAGTTTCAGTAGTCAAAAGTCTCTCTCTCTACCCAGGCATGGTGGTGCACGCCTGTAATCCCAGCACTTCAGGGGCTGAGGTAGAAGAATTACTGCAAGGTTGAGGCCAGCCTGGGCTACATAGTGGGTTCAAGGACAGTCTGAACTACACAGCAAGACCCTGTCTCAAAAAAAAAAAAAGTCTTTCTCTCTCTGACTCTCTGGTGGTGCTGGGGATTGAACCCACGGCCTTTGAACTAAGCTATATCCTTAGCTCTTTTTTATGTTTTTGAGACAGGATCTTATTGAATCTAAGTTGCCTAGGCTGGGCTCAAACTTGCAATCCTCCTGCCTCAGTCTTCCACAATTCTGGGATTACAGGCATGCACCATTACATCAGCCTAATATTCTCTTACTTTCATCAAAATGATTACGAGACGATTGCTTTGAACCCAAAACAAATATATACTTTATATGAAGAAAGATACAGCTTAAAAAAAAAAAAAACAAAAAACCTTGGGGCTATGGTTTTGATCTAAATGTCCCCAAGTCTCATGTTTGGAAGTAGGACCAGGTCAGAAAGGACAGTCACTATAGGTGTGACCTGGAAGGGTGTTGTTTTTGTTCCTGGCTCTTCCTTTCTCTGCTGCTTGGCCATCATGTTGTGAAAAGCCTTCCTCGATAATGCCATTCTGCCATGCCATTTCTGTCTTGGAGCCAGCCAACCATGGACTGAAATCGCTGAAACTGTAAGCCAAAATAATTCTCTCCTCCTTTAAGTGTAGATGACCATATTTTGTCCAAGTGACAAAATGTGACTAATATAGAAAATTGGTACCAAGAGTGGAGTCACTGCTGTGACTACACCTGACCATGAGGTTCACAAGCTTTTGGAATTGGTTTATGGAAGGAGTTTGGAAAGGTCTGGAGATAAAGGCTAAAGAAGCTCTAGAATATTGACCAGTGCTTGATGTGCGATATTGGTGCGAACTTAGAAGACCAGGATGTTAACAGGAATGTGGACAATAAAGGCCAGGCTCAGGGATTTCAGTTGGGAACAAGGACTCCACTTGCTAGTAGGATTAGTGGTCATGTGCGCCATGCTCTGACAGAAAATTTATCTAAATTTTGCACAGGTCCTGAGACTTTTCTGGAGATATATATCAAAAACAACAGACTAATCTAGTGGAGGAAATTTCAAGGCAGCTCAACCTTCAGACTGTGTCATGGCAAATGCTTCTGCTTTTAGGCAGATCTATAGTGAGAGTTAGAAGCAAATGGTAGAGCTGAATGATCAGAAAAATTTGCAGCTTAGCCCAAAAGGAAACACCTATAAAGTTGGGGTCATGGAAAATGTAGTTGCTGAAAGCATCAGCATTAAAAAGAAGCCAAGTACACTTTGCATCAAGGCAATTGGGAAGATGTCTTCAGGGCATATCAGGAATCAGCAAGACTCCACCCATCACAGGCTCAAAATGACAAGAATTGTGGAAAGAATTAAGTTTATGAACTGAGGTACCACTGTATAAACTTTTGCTTTGAGAAGAGAGCCCCAGGGAGGTCAATCATTCAGGGCCACCTTAGGAAAACGGTTCCCCACGTTCAGCCATGCAAGTACTCAGAGGCCTCTGCAGCTGTGGCTCATAGGAGCCTGTTTACTACTCAAGCTGGTGGCAGACCCTGGAGTCATCACATGGTGATTTTTCAGGCATGCAGAATGCAGGAGTAGTACAGTCATGGAGGTTTCCACCTAGTTTTCAGAAGAAGGCCCAGGAAGCCAAGCACTGCCTTCCTGAGAGGGCAGCGAATGAAGCTGTGAGAGTGAAGCTGAATGTGCAATGGAAATCCCAGGAAGTTGGAGATGCCAGGAAAGCATAATGTCTACTTAGAAAAACCACAAGCAATGAGCAAAGACAGCCCAAGAGAGACACCATGTGGGCTTCAATCAGGAAGACCACAGGGTGGGGCTGCCCAAGCCCTACAGAGCTCACATCTGGCCATATCTTGTCTTGGGTGCTGGGTATATAACTATAGGATTTAATGTTTGCCCTGCCGGGGTTTGGTCTAGCTTCTTTGGTCCCTCTATTTTTTTCCTTTCTTTTTTTCCCTTTTTCTTTTTCAGACAAGGTCTTGCTATGTAGTTCAGACTGTCCTTAAACGTACTATGTAGCCCAGACTGGCTCCAAACTTGCAGCAATTCTCCTGCTTCAGCTTCGCAAGTGCTGGGATTACAGATATGTGCTGCTACACCTGCCCATATTTCTCCTTTTGGAATGGGAATGTTTACCCTGTGCCACTGTATGTTGCAAGTATTAACCTTCTTTTTTACTTTTATATAGGCTCAGAGCTGAGAGTTTGCCTTGATACACAGGTGACCTTGGACTTTAACTTTTCAACAATGCTCAAACTATTAAGACTGTGGCAAGATGGATTAAATTCAAAGACTTTGTTAAGGTGTACTAAGTGTATTTTGCACAAAGAGATTCACATGAGCTCATTGGGTACAAGGAGCAGCATGTTATGGTTTTGATCTAAAAAGTCTTCCAAGCAACTCGTGTTTGGAAATGAGGCCTGGCAAGAGGGCGCCGGTCACTGAGGGCAGGACCCAGAAGGGTGCACCTTGTCCTCGGACTCACTCTCATTCTCGCTCCCTCCCTTCCCCTCTCCCTCCCTCCCTCCCTCCCTCTCCTGGTTGCCATGACGTGAACAGCTTTTCTCTGCCATGCCTTTGTGGCACACTGTTTCAGCCTTGGTGCCAGGTATCCAAGGACAGAAGCCACTGAAACTGTGAGCCAAAATGAAGCTCTCTTCCTTTAAATTACACGTGTCAGGCATTTTGTCCCAGCAGCTGGGAGCAGACTCATACACTCAGTTAAAACTGTAATTTCTGGTTTGGAATATAAAATTAATTAGTAATATAAAAGTAGTAATATAACATTTATATAATAGACACAAAATGTGCTTTTCTACTGCAAGAGAAAAAATATTAACTTTGTAGCAAGTTAAATAAAAATGAGAGCAACAGCTTTTCATGTTTTTGGTGGCAGAGATGGCAGTAATCACTAAGGGCTGGTACACTCAGGTTTTAGTAAAGATGGTTTAGAGCTGGGTAGGTGTCAGGAAGGCAGGAAATAGAGACTCTCTCCAGGAGAAAACTGCAGAAGGCACAGGGGAAAGGATAAGGGCCATTTTTTTGTCATGGAAGTAGCGCTGGTAGCAACCCCAAGGAGGCAGAAAGTAAAGGAGATCATTAAGTATATGCCTGTACATCTTATTTAAAAATCTGGATACATTATAACAACTTTAAACTGGATCAAAAACAGAAGATCCTAAAAGTTTAACAGAGAAGGAATCACCAGGCATGGTGGCGCACACCTGTAATTCCAACACTCAGGAGAAGCTGAGGCAGGAGGATCGCTGGAGTTCAAGACCAGCCTGGGCTACAAAGTAAACTCAAGGCTAGTCTGAACTGCATAGCAAGACCCTGCCTCAAAAAGACAAAAATAAAATAAAATAAAAAAGAGAAGGAATCAGCAATTTGCAATAACAAAGTAACAGACAAGCAAATACAGTTAACCCCTCCGGGGCAGAAACAATCAACTTCACCAAGCACTTTAATCCTAACGCTGAATGACTGCTTAACTGTTTTTAAAAATTCACAGAGGCCATTTAGTTAGTATTAGGCCATATCTCCTTTGACAGTTTAACTTGCTGATTTTTCTTTCTTTCTTTTTTTTGGTACCAGGAATCAACTTCATAGCCTCACATTTGCCAGGGACGTGCTGCACTGCTGAGCTACATTCCCAGCTTAACTTGCTAATTTAGCATGACTTTAGGAACTATAAGGAACGCTCTTCATCTTTCCATCAACACAGAACAAATATTAAATCTCTTAACATAAAATGTCAATATCCAATATTTAAGAAAAGTACAAAATCTCTGCTGGTACTGTAACAGGATGATAATTAACCTACTATCTCACAACAGTTACGGTCAGAAGTAATTGATTTGGGGTCCTTTGTGGGGGAAGCAGAAGTGAGGAGGTATCAGAGCTGTTCTCTTTTTTTTTTTTTTTTGAGACAGGGTCTCACTATGTAGTTCAGACCAGCCTTAAACTCACTACATAGCGCAGGCTGTCCTCAAACTTGTGGCAATCCTTCTGCCTCATCCTCCAGAGTGCTGCGACTACAAGCAAGCACCACCACATCCAGCTATTATTTTTAAATGGTGCTGGGGATTGAACCCAAGGCCTCATGCATGCTAGGCAATGCACTACCATTGAGCTACATCCTTGTTTCTTTATAAAAAAAATTTTTTTGAAGGGGGGTGCTGGGGATTTAGCTCAGTGGCACAGCACCTGTCTAGCAAGTGCGAGATTGTGAGTTCAATTCCGGGTACTGGAAAAAACCAAAAAAATAAAATAAAATAAAATGATTTTTTTTCTTATTCTGAGCTAAATTTAACTAAGTTGTCCAGGCTGGCCTTAGATTTGTAATACCTCTGTGATAGCCTCCTCTGTGAGTAGCTGGGATTTTAGATGTACACCAATACACCTAACAGGAGCTTTTCTTTTCTTTTCTTTTTGCTAGTACTCAGGATTGAATCCAGGGCCTCTGTACTGAGCTACACTTATTTATTTACTTATTTCCTTACTTGGTAGGGTCTCACTAAGCTGCCTAGGCTGGGATTGAACATGCGATCTCTTTTGCAAACAGAATGTCCTGGCCATGTTTGTGTCTACCTAATTGGAGGTGAAGAGGTTGAGAGTAAAACCTTACACTCCCTGGGTCACATGCGTGTCAAAGCAGCTAGGTCTATTTTTGCTTGCAGATTTGGGTTTTTTGTGCGCAGTAAGCCAAACTCTGGACTCCACAGGGAAAAAAAGTGTTTCAGCGTGCAAAACGAGCTGAATGTGAAATCACACAAGGAGGTGCTGAGAAGCTACCTGCTTT